ACTTGGAAATGTACTCTTCCCCTTGTTAGTAGCACTACTAACATGTATCGAATGTGCTAAAGCTAGAAATACTGAGCGTATGTTATGCAATTTTTTTTTTTTTTTTTGAAGCAGTATGTTATGCAATTAAGTAGACGGCCACTGGCTGTCGCTGCAGCCTACAAAATTAGCGTAAATTTTTGAATGCGCTTTTAATTACCTAGTAAGTTGTAAATGCTAACTATTTTTTACGTATTTTATTTATAGTTTATGGATAAAAAAGGAAAAAATTTATTGGTTGGTTCAAATTAGTTGTTTAGCATCTCATACATGCTTTCAACATCTTTTTTTCTCGATTGTTGATAAAAAAAAAAAAAAAAGCTTATTATGTGTTACTCCATCAGTCCCACTTTAATAGTTCTAGTTTTTTTTCACACAGTTTTAAAAAAAAATAGTTAACTTTGTTGGAACAATCAATTTAGGTAGCTATTTTTCTAAAATACCCTCACATTAATTAGAGTACAACTTTATGAAAACTTGAATTTATGGTAAAAAAAGAATCAACTCTCATTAAAAATTGGAGTTTTTTGCCAAAATAACACTCTTTCTAAAAACTATTCCCAATATGATTCACTTTCAAATTTTATTCCCAAATCGATGTTATTGTTGCCATTTAATTAGCCTGATTGCCATGTAGTATAACAATAAAGGAAAGCTTTAATATAGTCTATACTTTCCAACAAAAACTAAAAATTTAAACTTTTTTATTATAGAGACACAAGAAGATTGCATAACTTTAATAATTTCCTTATAATTATTTAAAATAAATTCTACCATTATTGACCTTGCTATTATTGCTCTCTGTAATTTTTTTAAATGTATCAAACTTATTGCATATATTTTTCAAAAATAAATTTGCAAAATACAAAAGTTGCAATGAAAATTGTAAGCAATAACAAGAAAAAGTTACAAAAACTTCAAAGCTATCATATTGATTTTATGTTATACTTCCGACTCCTTGAAAAGAACTTTTACAAAAAGTAATCAAACTACTGCAATTGAGATAATGCTAAAGTTTCTTGAAAGTAACACAAGCCATTAATTGATGTTGAATAAATGTGCAAAAATACTTCAAGTATACGAGATTATTTGATCATGTAATAGAGAGGCGCTACAAATGAACATGCTTATATATGTGGTGGAAATCAAACATATTGAGTATGAATCTATGTTGTTACGTAGTTTTACTATTAACATTTTATCAAACACACGGTTTGAGAAATCATTTGTCAAAACAATTAGTATTCAAAATTTTTTAAGTCCATAAGAATGTTCCAAAAAATGCATAATAGGAAAAATAAGAAAATAATCTTCGTTTACCTTGAGATTATCAAATTGAGGAGAATATTTTCATCCATAGATATAATATCAGGAATGACAATAAAGTTTTAGATGTTGTTAATATAAATATTGGCTTCTGGCAATTACATTTGACAAGGAAAAATAATGAAAGAACGAAAAATAACGAACCGAAAAGAAAGGTGGGAAGGTTCAAAGATAAAATCAGGGAAAATATTAGTTGCGAAAGAGAGATGGAATATGCCTCTATCTCTATTCTGCCACATATGCAACCTATGTGACAAAAAAAGAATTATAAAGGTAATAAATTTTAAAACTAGATTACTTTGGATATATGTTTCGAAAGAAGAGTCATTTTGACAATAAACTCCATTAAATGGGGTAGGTTTATAGTAATAACAATTTACATTTAATAAGAGTATTTTAGAAAAATTAAAATACAATTATATTTTTCAATTGGAAAGTGAACTACAATTTGGGACAGACAAAAAAAGAAAACAGGACAATTAAAGTGGGACGGATGGAGTATTTTAGACTAGATAAGTATTCATAGAACCACCTTATTGGCATCTTATTGAAGGATTAAACTCTTTTTATTATCGAGGGAACAATTTGAGGAGTGGAATAGATGAGAGATTAAAAGTTAATAAATGAAATATTTCAGAAATTCTTTAAGTAGTTTATCCAAAATGTATAAGCAAAGAAACTTAGGCTCCGTTTGGATTAGATGTTTTTTGGTTTGTTTTTCAAAAACACCACTGTAGCATTTTGAATCTGAAAAACAAATCCGTTTGGATTAGTTGTTTTTGGGGTTGTTTTTCAAAAACTATATGAAAAACTTTTACTGTAAATTTTTTTGGATTATTTTTAGAGGTATTTTTGAAACATATTTTTGAGTATTTTTAGAATATTATAATTTTTATATTTTTATATAAATATACATTTATGCATTTATAATCCATTTATATTTACAAATGTATAGATGTATATTATTATAAATGAATAAATTATAAATGAATATTATATAAATGTATAAATTATAAATTATAAATTTTATATTTTTATATAAACATGCATTTATGCATTTATAATACATTTATAGATATTTATAAATAAATATATTTATATATTCATATAAAAATATATAAATGTATTATATTATAAATAATACATAATATAAATATATTTATAAATGTATAAGTGTATATTATTATAAATGTATAAATTATAAATGAATATTATAAATATATTATAAATTATAACTGTATATTATTATAAATGTATAAATTATAAATTAATATTATAAATGTATAAATTAATATATTGTAAATATATATTAATATTATGTAGAAATGTATTTATATAATTAATATAAATGTATATATGTATTGATATTATGTATAAATGTAAAATTAATATTATGTATATTAATATAAATGTATAAATGTATTAATATATATAATACGTAATATAAATGTATATTTAAATGTATAAGTGTATATTATTAAAAATGTATAAATTATAAATGAATATTATATAAATGTATAAATGTATAAATATATATTAATATTATGTAGAAATATATTAATATAATTAATATAAATGTATACATGTATTAATATTATGTATAAATGTAAAATTAATATTATGTATATTAATATAAATGTATAAATGTATTATATTATATATTATACATAATATAAATGTATATTATAAATATACATAAATATTTATATATTATGTATAAATGTACATTTATATAAATGTATAATATATTATACATTATATTATATATAATTTATATAACATATAATATTTATGTAAATATATTATAAATATATAAAAATATATTATAAATAAAATAAAATATTTATAATATGTATGTATAAATATATAATATTGGAAATGTATAATATATATAAGATACATTATTATTAATATAATTTATGTATAATATACATAATTGAAATATACATATTAATATATATTATAAAAAAATTGAATAAATATATTTATAAATATATATATAAATAAATGTATTTACATAAATATATAATATTTATTTCAATTGATATAATATATATAATATTATACATAATTGAAATAAATATATTTATATTAATATAATATACATATATATATAATATACATAATTGAAATATACATATTAAAATATATTAAAATATAATTGAAATATACATATTAAAATACATAATTAAAATATACAAATTGAAATATACTTATTAAAATATACAAATTAAATATACATAATTGAAATATATTTGTAGTTGTTTTTGATATATTGTTTGGATATGGTGTTTTTGAAGTTGTTTTTGAAATACACATTACTGTAGCATTTGAAATGTGAAAAATAGTTTTTCAAAAACAGGTGCAAAAACACTCAATCCAAACGCAGCATTAAGTATGTAAACAACTGAGAGACGCTGCAGTATTTAGACAATTGCAAGACCTTGTGGTAATTTGCAAAGTTACACGGCAGTGTTGGCACAGCAGTATTGCCAATTTGCCATCCTGTTGAAGAATACTGAGCACACATGATGCCGAACAAGTGAGCCTTTAAGCAGGCGCTGTCCAGAAAAAGGAACTGAAAAGTGAAAGCTTCCTAGCCACTAGCCGGTAGCCAAGCCGGGCCAGCGTTTGCTTTGTCATCTTACCAGGATTTCAGAGACAGAATCCCCGTTAAATTGACCTGCAGAGCAAAAGCCAAATTTCTCGCAGCAGGCACGGCTCTCAAGAGTCTTTAAGAGTTGAGACAAATTAGTCGATTATTAGTTCCTGCCAGAGCCATACAACACAAGAAGTAATAGTAATCCAACATGACGTGTCGCAAACTCACTAGGATATGAATTGTGATTAGGACTGGGCTGCTTCCTACTACTTAATGTTAAAGATGAAAATACAATTTAAGCATCCAACCTCTTGATAAGGTCCTAAGAACTGCCCGTAATAATACTTATGCAAGACAAACGATCCCTCAAATCAAATACATAGCCCTGTTTAATAATCTCAATCAATACTTAAATTTAATGAATTTAAATTTTAACATATTTAGATATTTTGATAACTAAAAATTAAATATAAGTGACGCTGAATTATTTAAATAAAATTTATTTTAAAAGATAAATGATAAATTATTCACTTATCATTTATTTAATTTAATATGACATACAATCAATGTATCAAATATAATAAATATTTAACAACTCACTAACTTAATAAATTCAGATTTCAATTTTATCAAACACATCTATAATACCACGATCATTTGCTTTAATTATTCCCATCAAATGTCAAGAAATTGTAATCAGTTGTTGTGTTCTTTCTAATTGGTCCTTCCAATTTACTTCAACCGTGATTATGAAATATACAAGAAGAAAACGTAAAATTGGGTGAGAGAATGAAAATCAACTCCAACTATTTTTTTATGAAATACAGAACCATAAAAGCAGAAATTGGACGAGGAAATGAAGATGTAAGAGAGCAACGTGCCAGATCGCTGGCCTACCATTGAAGCTATGCATATCTTAATACTCTATCTGCCACGTAAGGAAAATCGCAAAATCAGCAATTCTTTCCATAAAATTACGTGGCATGTGCTATTCCTCTGGTACAAAAGGTACAAAAAGAAAGAGATAGAGAGAGAGAGAGAGACAAGGAGGGAGTCCGTCCACTTGTACAATTTTTAAACGACAAATACGTTCAAGGCTTTAAGCCTCAACGTGAATCCCTCCACCAACCCTCAACTCCAACCCCAACCCAACCAAAAAATTGGACTTCAACAATATGCTCCGATGCGCGGACCATGTGGTGTTTGCAAGACTAATAGCATCAAAAGGAGGGAGCACTGCTACTGAAATCCTGGGCCACTGAGCAGTGTAAAAATGAAGCCCCACATTCACCGTTCCACTGACTTCAGCTCAAGACCACTTCTCCACTTTAATACTCAGAAGAGGAGGAGTCCTGTACCCCGTCGTTGCGTCTTCCCTGATGAAATTTCATTCAACAGCCGCCAGCTTCGCGCTTTCAGGCTGGAGCATGGCCACGTCGGAGTCTCCGTCCGTTGTCGTCAAATTCCGGTGGACCATGGCGAATATTCTGGGCCTAGAAGGCGTGATGTTCTTGTCGCGCCTCTCCTGGCTGTTGGCGCCTGCGTTCTACGGTCGGCAGTGGCCAGAGCGGATGAGAAGCCTCCGGAGGTAGCTCCCACTGCGACTGTTACGCCAGAAGCGCAGCTGGAGGCGCCCGTGGAGGAGGTGATTAATTCGAGGATTTACGATGCGACAGTGATGGGAGAGCCGTTGGCGGTTGGGAAAGATAAGACGAAGGTATGGGAAAAGGTGATGAATGCTAGGATAGTTTATTTAGGTGAAGCTGAGCAGGTGCCTGTTCGCGACGATAGGGAATTGGAGCTGGAGATTGTGAAGAATTTGAAGAAAAGATGTGACGAGGCAGAGCGGCGGATTTCCCTGGCTTTGGATGCATTTCCTTCTAACCTACAAGCTCTGCTCAATGAATATTTGGATAAAAAGTACTATTTCCATCTTTCAATCAGTCTGTCTTACTGACTTTTGTTAGTCTGCTAGTTATGAAACTCTGTACTGTGCGGAAGTGCTGTAAATCATTTGTGTTTGAGATCCGTACATTTGCTTTGAAGGTTTGTTATGACGGGAGAGAGTGGATCAATTACACCTGTTCTAGCTACTAGCCTGCGTCGTTCATCCTTTGAGAATATAAAATGCCTAACTCGTGCGCTCTTTGTGAAGTATGCTTGGTTTGTTAACTCTCCTGTACGCGTTATGTGAGTATAGCATGTTTTGAATAATTTGATGAATTACAGATTAGTAAGTGGTCTGTTATGATTTTCGACATTGAGATTGCTACAAGTTAACTTGTACCCAGAGGAGGACAAAGAGTGAGAAAGGATACAGGTTGCTATCATAGATTAGCCTCTAGTGATCCATGAAGGTGTACTTGGAGACGAATTATGTTGCACTTCTCTTATGAAAATTATCCCTATGACAGGATTGATGGAGAAACCCTCAAATCTTTTCTTAGACACTGGCCTCCTGAGCGCTGGCAGGAATATGAACCTCTGATCAGTTACTGCCGAGATAATGGAATTCAGCTGGTTGCGTGTGGCATTCCACTTGAGGTATTCCACAGTTTTATCGGGCATAAGAAATACTTCTCGTGTTATGTCTGCTACAAACATTTCAGGGCTATGTACAGCTAGTAAGGCTTAGTTGACCTAAATATTTGCTGATGCTCACAAGCAAACTTGTTCCTAGAAGTCAAATTCTCATATAAGACTTGAGGAAAACAAATCAAACTTGCTAGTATTTGGTGGTGAGTTGGTTTTAATTGTTGATCTTTAGATAAGATTCAGATTTCAGGTCAATATTGTTTTTTAGTATCAAAATGTACTGTTTCTGGCATTCAGAAATATTAATTTGTTTCCAAAACAGTGATATATTTTGTCAGATAGTATACTAAATCTTTTTGGCTGTTGAGTATCAATGTCACATATTCCAATATCATAGAATTCACATTTCAGCTACACAAGATCTCAGAAAGTGAAGTAATCTCTGGTTGTTTTTCTTCATCTACTGGCCAAAATAGACTGCTAAATGGGATAATTTTCTATTATAGAGAATTGGTGAAATTCTTGTCTCTCTTATGAAATTCATTTTCCAGATCTTAAGAACAGTTCAAGCTGAAGGAATTCATGGACTTTCTAAAGCTGATCGGAAAAAGTTTGCGCCACCAGCCGGTTCAGGCTTTATCTCGGGGTTTTCTTCATTCTCACGCAGATCACCAATGGATACAAATTATGCATATCAATCTACTCCTTTTGGGCCAAGTTCATATTTATCGCTACAGGCAAAAGTGGTTGAGGATTATACCATGTCTCAAATTATCTCGGAAGCTGTGACAGATGGTGGAGCTGTGACAGATGGTGGAGCAACGGATATGCTAGTTGTAGTGACAGGTGCAAGCCACGTTACATACGGATCAAGAGGGACTGGACTACCTGCTAGGATTTCAAGGAAGATGCCAAAGAAAAATCAAGTTGTCATTCTGCTTGACCCTGAAAGACAGCAGATACGGAGAGAGGGAGAAGTTCCTATTGCTGATTTCTTGTGGTATTCTGCTGCGAGACCTTGCAGTCGGAACTGCTTTGATCGTGCAGAAATAGCCCGAGTGATGAATGCTGCTGGTAAAAAGCGCGATGCATTACCCCAGGTTAGTTCCATCTGTCTGTCCTCCCACGAATGGGAAGAGTCTTTTTCTCATAACATGCTTTATCATGCGAATCATTCTCCATATACAGGGGCACTCAATTTGGAACCCACAGGACTCCCTCCCTCCCCAATTGAACAGACAAGAACTTATCTTCTGAACTTGAAAGTCTTAGAAGTTTTTAAATTATTACCAAAGCAATCTTTCTTGTGGTTTATGTCTAGCTTTGGAAACAATTTGGACTCTATCTCTACAAATTTTTTCCTTTTTCCTAATTCAGAAGTCGCTCTAGTCTGTTTGTGGCATTTTGTTTATAAAGAAAATAAGTCCAAGTTTGTGGTAGTGTATCATTTTGATTTTTGATGGATTGTTGGCTTTGTCCTATATTTAGTTCAACGTGTTTTGGTAATTGTTTTTGGAAGCAAGGAAGTTGTTAAGATGCACAGCCTTGGGTTTAAGTTTGAAATACCTTTTTACCTGTTTTGGATATATGTAGATGTGTATCCTGCAACAGACTTCACCTTACCGAGTATTTGTACTGTTGCATCATCTCATCAATTGAATCTCATGGAAATTTTATAGGACCTTCAGAAAGGACTTGATCTTGGTCTGGTATCTCCAGAAGTGCTACAGAACTTTTTTGATCTAGAGAAATATCCTGTTATTTCAGACTTGAGTCATCGTTTTCAGGTACTCTACAGTCTACTCACACTTAATAATAAATGACTCGTTGCAAGCAGTTGCTTCCAGTTGTTGATATGGTTAAGTTGGTGGTGGTAACAACTTATCTTGTGCAGGGCTTTAGAGAGAGATTATTAGCAGACCCCAAATTTCTGCATAGATTAGCTATAGAAGAAGCTATATCGATAACAACCACACTCCTGGCGCAGTATGAAAGGCGTAAAGAAAATTTTTTTTATGAGCTTGATTACGTCATCACGGACACACTGAGGGGATCGGTTGTTGACTTTTTCACAGTGTGGCTTCCTGCCCCGACACTCTCATTCCTTTCAGTTTCTGATGGTTTTAGTGGACCTGATCGCATGGAAGCATTAAAAGGTCTTCTTGGTTCTATCCCAGATAATGCTTTTCAGAGAAGTCCAGCTGGGAAGGACTGGAATTTGATTCATAGAGTTGCTTCAGTACTTATTGGTGGTCTGAAACTAGCAGGAGTTGGATTCATATCTAGCATAGGAGCTGTAGCTTCATCGAACGTTGTATATGCAATGCGGAAAGTACTAAATCCTGCCCTTGCTGTCAAACATCCAATTAAACGCTCACCAATACTGAAAACAGCAGTTGTATATGCATGCTTTCTTGGAACATCAGCGAATCTCCGATATCAGGTAGGTTGGATATGTGTTTTTCAAGTTTGACATTAGCTAGAGTTATTAATCTTTTCAAGTGCTGATAATTATCTTGATTATCCAGTAAATACATATAAACTCGTCTAAAAAGCTATCATGAGCATTGGAATCAGGTAACCAGAGAGCATGGCTTCTTTGGTATTGTTACGTCATATGCTGTACCTTGACGGAAACTCCATAACTGTTGACATTGATTTTTACATGATAATGATAAATACAGTTTTCTTTTGTGTGTATGTGTGTTCTGCATGTTTATATGAGGAGACATTGATTTTTACAAGATAACGATAAATGCAGTTTTATTTGTGTGTTCTGCATCTGCGGGAGAGAGAGAGAGAGAGAGAGAGATTATACATGGGCATCTTAGGGTTATAAACTTCCTGCAACTAAGAAAACTTTAATCCAACATATCCATTTGCCACATTCTTTTTCATGTCACTTGGTGTAACCCCATGATATAGAGCAAATGGTTGACATGAGAGCCAATTCTCTTTATAGGTGAAGGCCGGTGAACCCTCAAGAATAGAAGTGTGTGTAGTGAGGCCAATTTAATATGCTAAACCAAATAGACACAGGAAAAAAGGTTATCTGACACATGCATTTCGAAGCCTGAACTGCACCTTTAACGTGTCACATGGACTGATACTCATGCAACAATCTCGAAGTAGTCTTTGATTGTATAAGATGCTTGTGAAACAACTGCAGAGTTTGAGCTTGTCATATGTGCTTATCTCCTGTGTTACAATGTTAAAATTACTGAATCAAAGACTCCAAAGTTATTGATTTGGCAAATCCTCTTTTTCTTCTTCTAAATTGTGTGTTTCAGTCGGAAGTTGGGTGGGTGGTGGTTTTATTGTATGGTATTTGTTGAAACTGACTGGTGATTCATTGTAGGTTATTGCAGGGCTAGTGGAGCATCGGATTTCAGACAAATTTAGTGATCAAGCATTTCTTGTAAATATGCTATCTTTTGTTGTTCGAACGATCAACTCCTACTGGGGAACCCAGGTTAGAGATATTCTATTTTTTGGGAACTCTAGCTTTTTTAATTTATACTTCACAACATAAATCTCAAGCTAATAAGGATAGACAAATTTATTCATAAACGTCAACATTCAGAAAAATAGGGGTTTTATCTTTTGCTTTTCTACCTAGATAAAGGGGTCGGCACGATTGCATACTTGGAACGATGAAAAGAAAGAAATAAAGTCTGTTACTCTGGCTATCATGAATAGGCTTTTAGTTTTTGCAGTTTGCACAGCCTTGATCATCTTGAATTCTAACTCTTTGTATGCCATGGAGTAATTGCTTTGTGCCTTTTGTTGACTATACTACCTTTATGGTGCTTAATGGAAAGTTGGTTTCATTGCTGGGTCTGTTGCACACAAAGAGGTGGTCTCTATTTGACAATTTGGTTGTTATAAATAGGATTTCAGTTATGTTGTTTTAGATATATGATATGCATAGCAGTAATCATTTTGAGTTGTAGCCCTTACTGTGTTGGGAACGATACTGATATTTACTGATATTTCTTTAACATGCTTCAGCAATGGGTTGATCTAGCTAGATTCACGGGACTTCAGGCTCAGAAGAATGAAAAGGTTTCATCTGAGACATCAGATTCTCCTGAACCTGCTGCATTGGAATGTAATGCTCCAGAAGATGCCAACATTGATGAAATCAACGAGCAATAGATGGAAACCCACAACAGCCCACTGCATGGGCTTCTTATACAACCTTAAAGAAATGAGTTTCAATATTTCCATCGTTTTGCTTCCAGACCAAGAGTATCTGGCGCATCTATTAGAGTTTTGCACTTCATAAAATTCAATATAGGGCGAGTGGGAAGAACTTCTTTTCATGGATTGTGCTGTTTATTGGTGCTCCATTGTTGAAAATACCCGCAAAAAAAAGAAAAAGCCAGAGAAAAGTGGGAGGATTGAAACTATAATTTTACTTATAATATATAGGGCAACCTTTATATCACAATTTTTTACTGTTCACAACATCCTGTGTATAAAATGCAACTGGATGAGTGATACAATTTGGTGAATGATATACATTTGTTTAAGTCCATTTCAGTAAGCTTAGTGAACATAGTTTCAATCACTCAGTCGCGCAATCATTGGACCCAGTGACTAGGGGATAGCTTTTATTTTTTATGTTTTTTCGACAACAATAACAATTATATAATTTATTCTATTCTAATTTACAGGGAAGAGATGCCTAAGGAGGTTTGTGTATTAGGAACTAGTAAGTATGCAGACTTGACTTGACTAAGAGGATAGTATGGCATCACGTTTGAATTTTTTTAACTGCAAGTAGAGTTTAAACTCCCACGTACAGTTCAAGAAGGGATTTAAGGAAAAGCTTTTAGGATAGCTCTTAGGAAAAGCTCTTTCTGCTATCAGGTAGAGAATTCAAATTCAAAAAAATCACTCGGTCGCCTGGATTGATGATCAATACATTGGATGGATTTCGATCCGTCTATTCATTCATCCGGTCTAGCAGCTTATGTTTGACACCATCGAAGGCAACTTCAAAGTTCTTCAGCTGTACCAAAAATATCATATGAAGTTTTGATGCCCTGTGTCTTGGCTATGAAAAGCATATGGTGAAAATGGAAGAATTTCTCTACCTGTTGTCTAGCAAACCTATTATGCACGTACAGCCCGTTGAATAGATCAAAACTATCATTTGCTACGCTTTCCTTCTGCAAGTGGAATGACACGTCTTTTAAAGGACTACTGTGGTTAGAAATTGAGACGTCTCTAATGCTGGAGATCAGTGCTCTCATAGTGATTGACTTACCACTTCAAAAAGCTTTTCAAATCCTTTCGTGTCAATAGGCGTGGGTTCAATCTGCATTTCTGCCAAGACCCTGTTGAAAAATAAGCTATGTCAGCTTGTTATGTCTCTGGTATCTCTAGCCTAATTAAGTCATCTATGGTTGAACTGCGTTGAACTTTGTACCTGCCAATGGTATGAGTGAGGAATTGACTTTTGGCAGCCAATTTATCGTGCTCTTCGCATGTCATTTCCAGCATTTTGCATCCCTGTGCAATTATCAGCTTCATAGATATGTGAAAAACAGTCTAAACGAAGATATAGCTTAACATGTCCAGATGAAAAATAAGGTCATATATATATATATATATATATATATTTAACTGGTGTCAAGAAGTATAGGCAGCCGATGAAGATCTAATAGACTCACCTCACTTGCAAAGATATGGAGGAAACCAGAGCACACAGCTTCATTCCTGATGCGGACTTTCTCATACATCAGAGTCAGGCCGTGCCACCCATCTCTTCCACTTTCTGGCCCAAACATGGGATGGGTGCAAATCAAATCCGATTCTGGAGGCAGAGCCTTTTTCAAGGGACCAAAAAGAGCGCATAGTAAATGAAACGGTGTCCTGTTTTAACACATCAATCTTGTTTTGGCTAATCAAAATTCTTTTAAGAGCATACTTGAAGTAGAACATCTCTGGGATATTCTTTCACCGAGAGTACATCAGCAAAAAGAGTCGGCCGTTTCAAGCATTGAAACGGCATGGACTTGACGACATCTGAAAGAGAGAGGATTGAGGTGCACAGCAGTACAACTTCATTGTCTGATTGGAGAAATTCGTCCATGTCCCTGCACCACTAGTTACTATGCGTACACATATGGGTATTTGTTCATGCGAAAGATGATACAGTACAACAACAGATTTTCCTCGGTTTTGAAATGCAGAAAAAGCTTATTTTAATGGGGTTATATACCTACCTGATGAAGGGGATGCCCAGACGAGCGCAATGCTCAGAGTAGTCGGATCTTGAAGTTGCCCTTATGGAATGCCCTTGTTTTATCATGGTTTGCGTTAGGAACTGTGCAAATGGTCCAAAACCAATGATACCGATCTTCAGACCTCTTACGGGAGCAGAGGATGTAAGGGAAGACATGGGGGCTGCCACCCTGTGATCCCGAAGAAGGTGAAGTTTTCTAGAGAATCTATTGTAAACGTATTTGACTGGGTCCATCTTAATTTAACTGTTAGCGGAAACTAACACTCCAAGTAGGCGGCATGGACATCTAGGCACATTGGACACGTTTCTGCCTTTCTGGTGGATATGCATGGTCCCATGTGGAGGCGCTGTCTTTTATCTTGTTTTTTTGTTCATGTCCTGATGACTCACTGTAGGGTTGGATTGGGCGTTCATATCCAATGTCGTTAAATTCGGATTGAATAGCGATTCGACTAAACTACTAAGTTAGGGTCAATTGATCGAATCGATCGGATCATTTTCAAAAATTCGTTAACGTCTGCATGATGTTATAATTATATAAATTTTAGAAATATTAAAATTAAGTTGTTAGTTATATTCAGCAAATCATATAGAATGTTCCAAAAATATTAGACTTTTAATCAAATATACACCAAATAATTATATTTAAAAATATAAATTCATGGCTAAAATATATATATTCTCCAAAACTACATGAAATACTAAATTAAAACAAATTAATGTAAGTTGGAATCACTGATGCAAAATTGATAAGATGATAGGGATGAAAACATATTTGATTTAGAGATCATTCAGAAAAATGAGTGATTTTGGTATTTACATTAAGTGGATGTTGTTTTTTTATTCCTATTAATAAATGAAAGTGTTACAATTTAGATAACTCAAATTATATTTGGAAAAAATAAGAAAGAAAAATTTGAGAACCGAGTCAACCATTTAAACCGGATCACTGATTTAGTCAATTTTTTACGATTTTTACTGATTTTTGACCAAAATGGATTTTGTGCTACAAATTAACTCGAGAAAAAGGTCGGTTAACGGTCGGATCAATGGAACTGATCGATCCGTTCCGGATCTAAACAACACTTTGAGGTTGTTAGAATGACTTTTCTGGGCGGCATCCAGCTTTGAGGTTGACCCTGACAGCATTTATCCATTTTCCGTTTGGCCCTAATTAATTGCCAAATCATAGAGGTTATAGATATTACCACCGGCAACAAGATACCAATTTCGGCTGGCGGTTGTTGATGAACATTAATGATAGGCATGAAATTCAAATAACGGGTCTAATGGTCGCTAGCAAACAGATCATGATGAACCCTTCTGAGTTCTGACAGTGTGTTGTTGCTGGCAAGCAATGCTCCATTTCTGATTCCTGATCGAGCTATTATCTTTACTTTGTTTTCTTTATGATGCCAGAGCTGTTGCTGGATTCACATTGTAAACTTTGCTAAAGCAAATGTTACCCTCACTTAGTTATTCATGGGTAATTCCTTTAACATATTTGCGTCACTGTTTTAGTGCAGATTAACTTGGGCTCCAGAAAATGCGTCAAAGCCACTAACGAATAGTAAGACTTGTTGATTTACTCCACGAAGAAGTTGAACAGTTCTGCTGTGTGCATTTGTCTCGTTCATTGTACGTTCTTCTAGTGATGATGTCAATGCTACTCTGGAGCGGTGCATTTTCACGGTATCAAACATCTATTGGAACTATACTAACTCTAAGGATTATGATTACAGCTTGTTCATAAACTAAACAGTGCGAGGGGCCTCCATGTATAAAGTAATGGACTTCATCTACTCTAGCTTTTGCAGTCTTCTAATTTATTGGATGCTTCCGCTGATTATGTTGCTCTATAGAATCAGGAATCATCATGTAGCATGGAAGGGCTCTTGATCAATGACTACTGGTTTTGAAATCCTCTTCATCACTTTCCCTTTTAGCCTCTGCTGTTGCACCACTAATATGGATGCTGTCCGTTCAAAATCAGGCTCAGCAAGCATGTCCCCTATCACACCAAGTTCTGGACAACCTATCCAAGCACCAAGGCCTTCCAAGAGAGGAGATTCTTGGTGATTTCTTCCTACAAGAATCAAATCAAAACTACCTCCTAATCTTGTTGCAGATGCAGCTAGTCCTACACTATCTCTGACGATCTCTTCTTGGTACGCAAAACGCTCATTCCCTATGTTGACATGTCGGATTTCATCTATCAGATTATTATCGATCTTCCTCTCCCTCATATTATCACTTCCTAGGAGGAGGAAACGGAAAACTGTAAGGCTGACATGGGGATGCATCACCATGCGAGCAGCATAAGATAGTGACTCTGCATCATCTGCACCACCAATGAAGATTACTGCAACATGATATGAAGATTGACCGTTCAAAATGGTTCTGGAGCCACGCAGAGTTGTCCGATCCACTAAAACAGCAACGGAGCAAGGTGACTTTTCTATGACCTGGGCATTCATGTTTTGTATGGCACGGTTTACTGATCCAATCGAGCCATCAATTTCCCATTGCTTATGAAATGGTAGAATGATGATGTTGGTATTTTGATCAAGTGCCACGCGACAAACATCTTCGTGCATTGTGTCAAATTGTGAGATAGAACTGAATGACTGAAAGGTGACACAAGCCTCATTGCAGAGCTCATATTGCCGCAAGGCATTGATAATGCGGCCTGATCTGGAGGAACTAGGCTGCAGCAATCTGTGGGACTGATGAGCAATGAGCATGGGGTTTGCCCGACCTACCAGCTCAATGAGCAGGACGGCTATGACTGTAACTGGGCTTTCTTCCGTTGCATTGGAAGCTTCAAGCAGATTCACCATTGCGGGGACATTCTCTTGGTTATGGATGCAGACTAATATTCTCAACTCTGTGCCGCGCTTGCAATGCTGAATGGTTCTCCGTCTCACTGGAGTAAGTCGCGAAGATGGGTCATAGAGAAGTTTGATTAGTAGTGTTGTGATTGCCGTGACTAGAATCACTGACACAACACATAAAGCAAATGCTTCAGGTTTCAAAACCTGTCATTTCAAATAAAAATGATAATAATGAAAAAAAAAAAAGAAGAAAAGAGCCGTATCACGGATTGTGATCGCATGTTTGAGAAGTAAGTTACTAGCCAGGAAAACATAGTAGGATCAGAAAGTTGGCACCTCTACGTCCAGAAACAGATTGTACAAGACGAGTTCAGAAAGGCCTCTGACATTCATCATCAAACCGAGCACAAAAGATTCTTGAATTTTCAAGTCCATGTAACAAGCGGGCAACATTACTGCTCCGACCTTGACTACGCAAGACAAAAAAACTATCAATGCCACTGTCCAAGCACCTTGAAAGTGGATGCAGAAGATGTCTGTTTTAAGGCCACTAGCAGTTAGAAATGCTGGATACAGGATCTTTCCAACAGGAATATCAAGTTTTGCAGTTAATGCGGCGCCCAGAGGTGGACCTTCAGGCACCACCAAACCAATAACCATGGGTCCAAACATAAAGTGCTGGCCAATCATCTCGCTTATAAACCCGACTACAAGAAGAACAGTAAAAATAGCAGTAATATGCGACTCCCCTATAGATCTTCCTTCAGGTACTAGACTCAAACTTTTTAATATTAGTGGTCGAATGATATATACTGAAACAAGTACAAAAATGACAAAGACTAAGATAGCTAACACTGAAATCATTGGATAGTCCCCTGAAGTTTGTAAAACTGCAAATGAGGATGCCATGAAGCAAATACCAATCAGATCACAGAACATTGCTGATGAGACTGCAAGGCGACCCAAGTCGGTTTGAATCATCTTGAGCTCAGTCAGGACGCTGGCAACATTTTGGAAGGATAACAGACACTGGGCTGCCGCTATTACAGGCAACGGTTTGGCAACGCTAGGATCCAAAGAAGCATAGCGCTTCAAGGCAAAGGCTAAAAGCAGAGAAAAAACCAGCGTTGTGAACACTGCAGAGAGACCTAGAATCGCGGGCTTCCACCCTGGGCGGATCATCATCTTAGGGTCCATCTTCACTGCTACTGAAAAAAGGAAGAACATTAGGCCAAATGTTGAAAAGGTTTCGAATATGATCTGGCCTCTTGGAGGAAAGAATACCGCTCCTACAGATGCTACATGTCCTAAAAGTGATGCGCCAAAGATTATACCGCCCTGGTTGACAAAAAACGTTCAAGATGAGAAACCAGAGAAATGGTACTAGCTAAAAATGCTTGCCAAACTTACAATCAGACATTGAAAAGATTCGTATACACAACGCATGTCATGGAGTCAGTCGCATGCTTACAAAAATTTGTGAAACAATAGTGGATTGACCAAGAGGCTTGATGATGACATCAATAAGCATGGATGTTAAAGAGACGAGGGAAAGTTGCATTAGCAAAAGAGGTGTAGAATAATTCAGCGGGTTCTCATTGGTCCACAAACCATTGGAAGAGATCTTGTGAGGGTCATGGCACACAAGTGTCCTGTTTCCTACCGAGTCAAGTACTATATTAGCCGATGCATTCATTGTCTGGGAGGCCATTTTTCTTTTCTTTTAAGCAATAGGAGTTTCAATCATCTCCAGTGTGTAGCAGCAAGTAATTGGAGCTGTTGGGGAGAAACAGAAAAACGGAAAGAAAGAAACACTTTCTTGAACACTTTCTTGGCCTTAGTTAGAAAAACACACAGAATACCCAACACACGCAAACTGAGGGAGCAAAGAGTGGGACGGTTCACCTCCAATTTTGGCAAATTTGACCACGTCTGTTGTGCCTAGACATGGTTTACCACTGCTTATGAAAGATATTATTATTACCACACACGTATCTGTCAGAGATGCCAACTACCATGCACCGTTTTTTTTTTTTTTGGGGCCCCGGGAGGGTTCCTAGAGCTTTTTTTTTTAGAATATACTTGGTGCTCCTAGATATTTCTTTTCTTTTAGTTGATGTCTTGTTCAGGAAAAGAAATGATCTTTTTTTTTAGTAGAACTTCTTGTTTTATCATCTAATAATTTGATAGCATATTTTATGTGTCAATTTTTGATAAATCGAAATTACGCTTCATTATTAAAGAAAAAATTGAGTTCACCTGCAAAGTTGTACTAAAAATCATACATAAAAATCCCTAAAATCAAAGAGATGCGTCATGATTTAATTTAGTTTGTGCCTGTCATGTAAGTATAAGTGGCTTTAAGATTTCTCAAAAAAATTACAGCGTCCGAGTTGCATTCATGCCACATAATTAGCTTGAATGAATGGGTCATAGGGTGAGCATTTTAGCAGGAGGCGGTCCCTTTTTCATTCAAATTCAGATAAGCTTGTGCCCTGCAAACATGAATTTCATTGTTCTTTTGACCATTGACAGTTTAAGTTTTTTAAGGCCGGTTCTTACCATTAGATCATAAATAATCTTTCATTATGAACAGAGGAATGACATTGGCCATTTTTGTATCCATTTTAAAGGCTGTGTGAAGCTCGTTAAGATGAACAATGGCCCTGATTTTACTTGATAATTAACCAAGGCTTGATCTTGAGTTCATTCTTTTTGCCCTTTTAACTTTTCATTCTTCTTCTTGTGATATAAATTAAGGAAAGGAACAAGCTCCACTGCGGGCAAAGAAACAAGCGCTATATATTAGTTTTTGCATTCTATTTTTCTTTGTAAACATTGGTTCCATCCGTGATATCAACCTTTGATTTTGTTCATTTGTTGTTGCACCACCAAGACTGAAACAGGCTTCTGGAAATCTGCAGCAGCAAGCATGTCCCCTAGAGGACCGAGCTCTGGCAATTCAGTCCACCTTATTAGTCCTGACAACAAGGGTGAGTCCCCTCTATGACGCCGGCCTACCATGATCAAATCAAAAACTTCCGCCACCTGATGAACTAGCAAAGCAGTGTCAGATTCATCATTCACCATCTCCTCCTTAAATGCAACATTATCCTGTTGTGAAGAACGGAGCTTAAACGCCCTCAAGCTTTCTGCGTCAAGAACTTTCTCCCACTCGTCCTCTACTACATCTTCTCGTGATATAAGCCTAACGACAGACAGGTGAACTCCTGGAGATTTTGCCATGCGAAGGCCATAGGCCAGTGCCTCGCGATCATCATTGCCTCCCAAGAAAAGCACAGCGACACGGTGCAGTACTGATGGAACACGTGATGGATTGCTCATTTTCTTGCGATCAATGAGAATGCCGACAGAACAAGGTGCCATGTCCAGCACAGAGCAGTTTATCGTCCTTATGACCTTGCTGTCATGTATGAGCCTTCCCTGATGGTTCCATTTCCTGTGAAATGGGAGAATCAAGATGGATGTCACTTTGTCAAATGCAAGGGAACAAATGTCCTCTTGCATGAATTGAGGTAGTGACACAGACGTGAAGCATTGCACGCTGATGAATCCTGGGTGAAGATCCCCTTGGAAACGAAATATGTCAATTACTTTAGTCGAACGAAAGCCCAGTGAAGAAGACTTTTGGCCCAGTTCATGGTTAATTAGAACTGGCGCAGCTTTGCCTACAAGCTTCTCCAGATGTAGTGCATAGACGCCAATTGGACTTCCCCTGGTAGGATTAGACATATGTAGGAGCTTTATTGCGGCCAGTGCATCATCTTGCCGATGGGTGCAAAGAAGTATGCGAAATTCTGAATTGGAAGCCAAGTCCTGAATGTCTCTCTTCTGATATCCAGTATATTTTCTTGAGTAGTCATACAACAATCTGATTGTGAGAGATGTTACTATATCCACAAGTAGAACTGAACTAGTTACTGAGGCAAAAGTTTCCCGGTCTATTGCCTGTAATTAAGAAAGAAACAGGTTATTTTTCTTGTACAGTCGACTAATAAAGTCAACCAATCACAGAAAGATTTTGTTTGAAACTGCATCAGCCAACACAAACATTATCTGGTTCTTACCTCTTGAACTGTATCATTGCATGGAAAAACCACTAAGTGAAAAAGATTCCAAGTTCCAACCAAAAGCTTTAGAGGAAAAGAAAGAAAATATTCTTAATTAACAAGAGGGGTGATAATTGATGCCAAAGGAGTGGATCATACACAGACTAAAACTTGCTGAACCCCTACTGTGAACTCCTGAGAAGGTCAATTCTTAATAGCATTCATACAATGCCTTTACTTAGACCACTAGTTTCAGTAGCTGAATTTAAGACTTCTGAAGCATGAAACCCCTACCAGGATCACATTTTTAACACATTAATAACATAGTATCCATGAAACTTAAGCTTCCCGTATGATAAAGCATTGGGGTTTGGTGGAAACCTTGTCACTGCTTGACTTTCCAAAAACTGCTTAATACACTGATCATGTCAAAACATCGTCAAGCATAACATAACTTTAGGAATTCAAGGTGTTAATTTTGACAGAGATGGTTATCATCTTATGGACCAAAATATATATTTATTCAACTTGGTGTAATAACATTGGCATATGCTTACCAACTTGTTACCATTCACAGTAATTTCACAGATGCATAAAAATTAAATTAGGTTCCCACAACTTGTTCGGTAACATGAGAAAATGGGATATACAGTGCTGCACAAATGAAAGAAACACGAAACTTTTACCTGATTCATGAAATAGTTCTGACATAAAGCCAGTTCAACAATCCCTTGTGAACTCATGATGGCAGAAAGGACTGTAGCATCTCTAATTGGCAATTTGCACATCAATGCCGGCAATATGACTGATATGAATTTTACAACAGAAAAAACAAAGATAATGATCCATACAATCTGCAGAAATTCAGCATCATATACCTTGAGTATATCAAACTTTAGTCCACAGGTACTGATTATTAATGGGGCAAATAGCCCTGATATTAGTGTCTCCAGCTTCTCCGCCAGTGTTGAACCTAAAGGTGGCCCAGATGGAACTGTCAAGCCAACTATGAAAGGACCAAAATGATACTGGAGTCCAATAGAATCACTGACAACAGCAGACAACAGGACACTTAGTGATACCAGAACAATGTAAAACCCCCTAACTGCCTGTCCTTCAGGTGTTTGCTTAATTATCCACATAAATAGCGGTCGCAAGACCAGAATAGCAGCTAAG